AATCCCTTTCCCAAGAAAAAAATTCTTACAAGAACATTTATTCAGAAGAACAGACCCCGTCCAAATCACATTATATAAGGACTTGAAGACAACAGCATTTCTATTATCGTGTTTTTTTAATGTTTTGCAGCATATTGAATATCAAGTTTAATATCACAGCGCTATTAATACTGAATTTGCTATTTATCTCGAGTTTTATGAAAAAAAATTCATCATGCGCAGATTTTACACAGTTCTGGACAGGTTCTGGAACGCTTAGCATAAGTTCGCGCCGATAACGTTATAGGAAANGATTTCTTGGACTTCCCTCATCGTCAACAGGTAGTCATCTTCTTCTGGGATTCCTTGTCTTTCTGGTGAGACATTTGGTGCCAGCGCTATTTCACCATTGTCAGAGCTCCCGTGTGCAGCAATGTGAATTACAGCTGATCCTTCTCGCAACTTCTCCAACACAACATCTTTGGTAGCTTGTTCACCAGTGATTGCAGTTTGCTTAAGATTACAAGAAATGACTCTGACTTCCGTTTCTGCTGAAGGTAAACGTTCAAACACTCGTTTCTTGCCTCTAAACATCACCTCTCCGACGCTAGGATTTCCTACAATCAACGCTCCTTTTTGGCTGTGATGATCAACTGGACATTCCTTTAGAGCCTTTAATATTGCTATTGATGGCGCAAGGCGAATGCGTTTGATGTCTGACAGATACTGTCCTGTGTTGGGATCCCTGAGGGCAGCAAACGGTACTCTGTACATTGGTCCATCCGGTACTATGACAATCTCGTCGTGTTGTACATGTGTCAGGACAGGCGTCACTAAGGAATTGTACAACGTTTCAAGTGGGTGTGACGCTTGATCGAGGTTGTCTTTACTGGCACCATCATCACGTGACATAGATTCAGTGCATTCGTCGATGGCATTTGTTGTCACGTAATCATCAAGTGATCTGTTTTCACAAGTCACGCTCTCTTTGATTTCCATCATTTCATATGCTTTTGCAACAATACCAGTAAAGAAACGACTTATTGAATTTTCATCTTTCTTTTCTTCAGTCAATGTTTCTATAGCAGAAATAAATTGTTCCTGTTCAGTTTCTCTGAACACCATTGGAGAGTCTTTAGCTAAAACCCACACAGCCAAACTGTTGTTTAGTAAGCTGTAATGCATCATTGTAAAGATATCATTTGATAGAATTCCTTCTACATCAGGATATGTTAGTGGTTTAGGCGATGACCATTCGTCTTGAATCATACTGTATTTGAAGACCAACCGATCTCCTAAAGCACGCGCTCGTCCACTATCAGATACTAACAGAGCCTCTTCTACTTTCTTTGTTTCAACCAGCACGGTCGTGAGGACCTTGTAGGGTTTAATGAATGTATCGAAAATGGAGACTTTGAATTGATCCAGTTGATGGAGATGTTGAAACAAAAAGTCAAAACAATCAAGTGCCTTCCTCAAGTATTCTTCTGATTTAGTTATATTATCATCAGTATCATGACATGCTTGATGTCCTTGGTTCTGTTTGTGTAATAAATAGTATACTTGGCCAAAAGCAGAGCAGGCTACACCCTTGAGATCTTTTTTGCCAATAGTGGAACAAATTTCAATGCATTTCTCCAATAAGCTTAATGAAAAGTAAAGATTTTCCATGCTCATATTGATACGAGCCATATTGTAATAGGCAGATGCCTCACAATTCTTGTCATTTATTTCTTTAGCAATGATAAGACTTTTATTGAAGTATTCACTTGCCTCTTCGTATTGGTTTGACTCTTTTAAACAATCACCAATGTTTCTATTGACTGAAGCTTGCACTTGTTTATCAGCAATTTCTACAGCAATTTCCAATGACTTTTTGAAAAAGGGAATAGCTTCAGAAGATTTATTATCACAATTCAAAGCAGTTCCCAGATTGCAATAACATGTTGCTTGAAGACCTTTGCTATTGATCTCCTTGCTGATAGTAAGACTTTCTTGGAACAATTCTGTGGCCTTATTATTGTTATTCAGCCTTAGATATATTGCTCCCAAGTTATTTAATTCAACCGCTAGACTTTCCTTATCTCCAGTTTTAACAGTTAGCAGAAGACTCTCCTCTATTAGACAAATTGCATCATGGTACTTTCCTTGCATCTGATATGATAATGACATGTTTGTATAACAAACCCCTAATCCTTCTTCATTATTCAGTTGTTTGTACAAATCAATAGCTTTTTTACAGCACTTAATACTATTTTGATAGTCACACAGGGAAAGGTAAGCACGACCAAGATTTTGATACGACATTGCAGTGAGTGTAGAGTCACCGATTCTAATTGCAACATTGAAGCCTTGTCTTGCATACTCCATCAATTTTTTTAAATCTCCTAGTGCATAACACGCCTCACCAATCCAACAACACATCTCACACTCTAGTTTCTTGTCACCAGTCTCTTGTAATATTTCCAGTCCCTTCTCATAATAATCAACAGCTTCATGATAATTTTCTATTTTAAGATAAACGCCACCTAGTCTTGCATCAGACTCTGCTTCTTCCTTTTTAGATCCATTCCTTTGTGCAATCACCAGGGCCTTTTTAAAGTATTTTATTGCACCTTTACAGTCACCGGCTTCTAGTCTTAAATCACCAAGAGAAAGTGCTTTCGACCATTTCATGGCTTCCGCTTCAAGGACTTCAATATATCACATTGGGCTTCCTGTGTTTTCAAAAAGACGGAAATGAATAACAAATTTGAACCAACACGGTGCATGTTTTGCATGATACGAGTCAAGCGTTTTGTGTCTTGCTTATTAAAGTATAGCTAACACCTTTTGGTGTTTCTTTTAAGTTGTTTACTGGATGATATCAAACACTGAACACATAATGTCGTCCTACCTTTTGTACGTGTCGTGTTGTTCATTAAAATCTCATTTTATGCAAACACTGTCCCTCGTTATTCACACAAAACATAGGTTTTCTTGCTCGAAAATCGTTCAAGTAAACTTCAGGCTATCAAGTGATTCTTTTCAAGTCGATTTTAAAGTATTGTTCGTTCGAGAATGACCGAAACTTGATTTTCTCAAATTCCCGGAATAGTCCTGTCGTTTGTAGTTCCGCTGTACAGGAGTACCAGAAGTTTGGCTCAACCCACCGGAAATGACAAATGTTTTCAGTGAACTTTTAAAGAAATTTGGGGATCGTGATCTATCGTAGGTTTCGCAAGAATGAAAACGGAATTCCTAATATTAATTCAATTAATATCGT